GTGTGTGTGTGTGTGTGTGTGTGTGTGTGTGTGTGTGTGTGTGTGTGTGTTGGGGGCTGGGGGTCCCCATAGCGTCAGGCCTCTGGCCCCCATTTGAAGTTAAAGTAGCATTGGGTCTCCTACTCCATCACGAGATAAAGAAAATGCCCCTCGCTCTCTCCATCGGACCACATGTCTCTCTCTTCCCCTTCCTAACAGCCGATCTCTGGCTCTCTGATTCAGCGAGGAGTTACAATAAAAGGGACAGGTGAAGTGAAATTTTAAATGGAAGTAAAAAGACAAGAGCAGGTAGCAAAAGAGACAAGAGAGCTTATATCTGCAAATCTAGAATAAAGGAAATGATTGCACTGGAACCCAGGAATCGGCTCTGAGCAGCTGAGAAAAACAGTAAGTTAAGCGCAGTCCGTGACTCAGTTTTTATTGTCAGACAAGAGCACATATTGTAAGGTAAGAGCCCCCTTTCTACATGTGTTCATGTAAAGTGCATTATGTTGGCGATTTCTAGAAGATGGATTAAAAAGCAGAATCAATGTCACTTTGGGGGGAAGTGCAAGGCTTTAGAAAGCTTTGATAAAATCTGAAGATGGGGCGCTAATGATATTTCTATAACAACACATGCCATGAATCTTGCATGATTATCTGTCTTGAGGTAGGTCAATGTGGAGATTAGACTATATAGCTCATTTGGTTATATCACTGTGTTAAGCTTTGCATTGAAAAATTACAGTTATGAACCAGAAGTTAGACATAAGGGCATTGAAGAAGATTTAGAATCATTCCCAGAGGGCCACCTGGGGAACATGACTGCTAGCATTTGGGGTATACACTCCCAGCCATTTCTATGCATATGTGCTTTTTCCTCCCACAACCACGCAGTCACCCTGTGTTCGCTGCCTGGGGTCCACCTTCCTAGATGATGACAGATCACGTGCACGTCCCCATGTCAGCAGATACACTCGTGTGCCACCATTGTTGACGGTTACGTGACATCCGTCGTGGGGATGTGCCCTCATCAGTCTAACAGTGTCTCCAAAACGGGCATGTTTCCTTTGAATTACTTTTAATGTTTTGAGTAACTCTAATCAGTGTCCTCTGTTGACATCTCTTTGCCTTTACCTGTGTTCCCCCCTGATGCCCAGCAATCGGCGTCCTTAGTTGAAGAGTCTCGCCCTCTCATGGCTTTCGGGCGTATGTTGCCAGACTCCTGGAAAGAGTTATCAGTTTTTCTCCTCTGGCAGGAAACCAGAGGGCTTTTACCCTGCACGCGGGTGAACGTTTACCTGCACAGTAATGTATCTATGATATTCCACTAGGATAAGTAACGAGGGGCATCCTTATTGTTTAATTTGCTTCCTGGGGTGAATTCCTTTCTTCTCCTTTGTGTCCTACAGCTCTGCCTTTACCTTTCAGGAGCGTGTTGAAAAACGGGTGTTTCGTTAGGCATCTCTGACTTATTTCTGATGTTGATGGGGACGCCTCCCATGCTTTAACCATTCCAAAGACTCCAGAGCTATAAATTCTTCATTGTACTGAGGGGATTCCCTTGCGCTTGCCTTATTTTGGCTTATTTGGGAATAGGTTCAGGTTGCTTCTCTGGGTGGCCTCCCAATCAGAGGGACTTCGTGCCAGTCCCAGGAGGCCTGCCTGTGACCATTCCCGCGTCTCCTGCAGCCCGCTGCCCGCCTGCATGGGAGCGCCAGGATAGTGCTGGGTCTGCCCCTCTCTCCCCAGCACGGCCCCGTCCGCTGGGGAGCTGCCCTCTACCTGGCTCCCTTCTTCCGGAGACCCTGCCAGGGAGCCCAGGAGGTCTGACTGTTGGCCCAGTTGCTTTATGTTAGTCAGAGAGAGAAGAGTAATCCAAATATCCTTCTTGCCGCAGACTCACCGACCAGTAAAAAGTGGGGTCTGACCGATGAGCATTTCAGGCCACCTTACGCTCGCCAGCCAAGCTCAGGCTTGGTCAGAGGGACGTTTGCTCCTTCTTGCCAAGGGGGAAACGTGTCACAACGGTATGTCCCTGCCCATCCCAGCCTCTCCGTAAATGTCATCACCATTCCGTCTTCGAAAATATTCCCACATGGGCTGCTTCTTGTGGTGGCCCCTCCGTGTTTGCCAGCTCCTTTTTCTTCTTCAATACGTGTGTATGCGTGGATGTTGTCGGAGTACGGAAGAGGAGCTCAGCAGGGCTTTGTTTTATAATTACATGGCAAGCGAGAGCCAGTCGTTTTAAAGTGCGATTCCATTAATGCCGGTCTCCCGGGAACTGAAATTATTGATGCAAATACACACGCCCCACCCCCCCCCCCAAGGGGGCAGGGTCACCAAGGGATGGACTTGAATTACTAGAGCAGGGAGAGAGGGCACGGCCTTCGTTGTAACCCTCCTCTGATATTGTCACAACCAAGCTTTGGAAATTTGGAGAGGAAGTGAGTTCCGGGTAGGTGTTCTCTTCCAAGTTGCTAGAGAGCTGCAGATCCCTCACGGTGGAGTGAGTCTGGCATTCTTTGGCTCACGACGGGAAGACCCATCAAGGGAACGCCCACGGGCAGAGGCCAGACTTTTTCTCGAAAGACATTGGGGAGCACGCAGGGTGTGTCGCAAAATCAAGTCTTAAAATTGTAGGCCGTATAGAACGTCCCCATTATTTTAGTGTAGGGAACGCCAAAGGTGCTAGAAGGCAGTGATACCAGTTAAACTGATCACGCTGTAACACCCGCTTTCTCAGTTGCCCCCGGGCTGTACTATGGCTGGAACCCACAAGGGATGCGTCTGCTGCCAGTGGGTGAAATATTGGAGAAATCTGCCCAGATTGGTGGCTTTGGGTTTCATTACCGTTGACCATCACCCCTATTACTGGTCCCCGGCAGGGCGTCCGCACTGAGCTGAAATAGCATAGCCTACAGCCCGCGTCTCTCCGGGGAGCAAAGGAAAAGAACCCGGCTAAACCATCTGGTGTATTTAGATAGAGTTTTCTAAAAGATTCAGTGTTTCTCAGCAGTGGAGTCACCGGGCCAGCTGCCGGCGTGTACCCCTGACTTTCGATGGTTAGGTAATTTATTTACCAAAAAGGAACCTGGCATGTTTTTCTGCGCATGGGATTCTAATGAGGTGATGCTTCCATAATGGGGTGAGCTGTGGGGGTTTGAGAGCACAGGGCTTGAGGATGCACGAAACATGGGGAATACAGACAGGTACCGGGCGGGGCCGCACAGCGGCCCCTTCGCAGCCCACGTGTCGCCCTGTGGCTCTCGTCACTGGCACAGACGTGTGCTTACAGTGCGCGTGTCTGCTGCTCACGCTCCCCTCAGGCTGGACCCGGACTCCAGCAGCAGCCACCTTCAACTTGGTGATCGTGCTAAACCCAGGGAGCCGGGTGGGGGTCTTGCGCCCAGAGAAGATTGGAGCAGAGTAAGGGACTGAATCGAGTTCAAAGGGAAGTAGGTCAGCATGGTGAGGGCCCTGATCATTTCATTAGAAGTTCAGATTGTGAGCCCCTGCGGGGCTCAGTTGGTTGAGCGCCTGACTCGTGACCTCCGCTCAGGTCGTGATCTCGCGGCTCGTGAGTTCGGGCCCCACGTCGGGCTCTGCGCTGACAGCTCGGAGCCTGGAGCCTGCTCTGCTCTGGACTCTGTGTCTCCCTCTTCCCTCTGCCCCTCCCCTGCTCATTCTCTCTCTCTCCCTCTCTCTCAAAAAAAAAAAAAAAAAAAAAAAAAAGATTTGCCAGAAGAAGTGAGTTATGGTCCTTAAAGACGCCGATGCCATCCGCTTAGGATGCCACCGCTGTCCGTGGAAGTGTTTACGTAGAAGATCGTCCTTCAGACACGAACCCCGAGTTTGAGCCCCAAGGAGGGGTCCTGTGCACGCTGGTGTGGTGGAAAACAAAGGCAGCCCCTCAACAGAACACACCGTCCGTGCGTGGTCCCCAGCTGTGGGCCGAGCCTACGGGGTCCCGGTGGAAAGACGGGCTTTTTGAAACCGTGGCTTAGGACACAGGCTGCGCGTCATGAGTCGGGGGCCCCTGGCCCCGCAGCCCTCGGTGGGGTTGGCGTGAGGCCGACGGGCTCGCCGTGTGCCCGGAACGGGTCAGCTACTGGGGAAGCTCCTGGAAGCCGGTCTCTGAGGACTGCCTGCCGATCTCGGTGCTCGGGCAGGTTCTACAGGCACAGGGACCTCTGTGGGGTGGGGCCCCCAGGGTGTCATTTCCCACCGGTCTCCAGGCTTCACATTCCTCTTCCTTCCCTCCCATCCTTTTCCCAGTCAGCTCTTCTTCCAGGCCTTCATTCTTCCCAGGGTTGTGGCATCATCCCTAGAAGGGTCTGTCCGTCCCGAGCCCCGGGCTCAGCCCCGGTGCCCTGACACACAGCGTGGCCTCGCTCCGTCATTCCTGTGGCGCGGGCTTTCTCTGTGCTGGAGGTGGGAGTCATTGAGCGGAAGCCTCTCGCCCCGGCCCTGTTTCCTGCCCTTGGGAAGCTTGAACAAGAGACCCTCTTGTCCAGAAGCAGAGGGTGGAGTTGCGTGTGCGTGGCCAGACCGTAGGAGGCGACAGTCGCTCTGGAGATCAGGCACAAACAGGGAAAGGACTGACCCAACCCAGACTGAGAAAGTGTCCCGGAAGTCGACCGCAGCAGTATCTCCAGGCCCCGGACTTGCTCGCTCTGCACTCTGTGAAGTGTGGACCCACCTCACCCGCTGCCACACCTCCTCTCCTGTTCGGGCTCGTCCCCAGAGGCTCAGGAGCCATCAGCTGGACTGCCTACCGCCCATGGGTCCCTACACCGCCTGCGTCACGGGGAGCCGTGGGAGGTGCGGCACAGGCGACGGGAGTGATCGTGAGTCTCGGCTGTTCCTCAGGACGGGTGGTTCCCGCACCGGCTGCCCTCAGCCGT